AGAAACGATACTTTTTCCCCGTTTTTAAAACATTTTTGGTTACTGCTCCACAACTATAAGACCTAGCGTGATATTATATAGCCTATGTTACTTCTGAATAATGCAGCTTTCTAATGGTGAAAAAATTATTGCAATCGGTCCAGTAGTTTTTGAGTTTATTCATTACAAACATACAAAAATACAAAAATACAAAAATACAAATCTTTCCTCTTTATAATATTAGTATAGATTTCTTGTTTGGATGTTGCATATTTTTTAAACTATTTTAATTTTCATGTGTTTAGTTTTATAAGACTTCATTCTAATTCAAGACATTTATTTTCAATGCCAATTTTTTTGGAATGAATCCGTAATATTTAAGTTATATTTAAAAATATATTCTTCATCTTCTGTCTCAACAAACCGTTTTTAAATTAAAACCGTAATGATAGTAATTTGACCTCCTACCGGCGCATACGCAGATTAGTCATCAAGTAATACAACGTAACGTATTTCGTCATACCAAATAACGTTTTCGTGAGCATGTCTGACCAAGGGTCGTGGGTTCAATCCCGTGCAGTTCTCGGTATGCAATATTTCGGTACTTTTGTGTTACAGTGATCATTGCTTTGTTTTATTGTGTAAAATAATAATAACTGTATTACACCAGGTCATTTCAGACCTACTGGGGCATAGGTCTTTTGTTGCGACACGGTGTAACATAGGTATATAATTTTAAACTTTAGTGCTCCAAGTATACGTACCATAATAGCATAAAACTATCTCGTCTAGACTGTGTGACAATTTCTCTAATTACTCTAAAGACTATTTTTTGGTTTGGTATCAAAACCTGATGTGTCTTGAGTCTCGTATTCTTCATTAATATAGAAGAAAACAAATGTTTTAAATATTTTAATACCAAAGTCCAATACTACATATATTTCGTTTACGAAGTTGTACCGATTCTTTATCCACTATTTCAACTGATTGTCCACTGCGTGACTTAAGTTTTCAACTAAGAGCGGATACAATTATCTTATTATTTTCATATTAACCAAAACTTTAGCTCCCATTCACAATATTTCCTATCTCTTTTGTAGAACATAATGTTGAGAAAGACCATAACTTACTTACATACTAAAATTTCTACTTGAGAACTAACAAAAAATATGTTGAAATAAAGACTAGCACCACAATTTTAAATTCAAATAAAAAGAAAAAAGCTCGAATCGATCTATAATGTTATCGATTGATCTATCCTCATAATTTGTATGCCCAAACCAACCCATCACTTCGATACGAAATCGAATGAACGTAATTGTTATAGTCGGCAATAGTGGTGTACTCAAATTGATTTCGAATAATTTCGATTATACGAACGATTTGGGGCCATAATCATTTTAAATGTTTGTAATAAACGCTATTAAAGGTGAATTTGATATCATAAACGTTATAGAATAGATGAATCCTAATGATTTTGAATGACATTTTGGAAACACGTGTATGGGTCACTCCTAAATATTCTTTTGTGTGTGTGTGTTATACTAGGGTGGATCTCCCCTCGGTAACTAATAATAATTTAGAATTTAGAAATGTATTGATCGTTATAACGATGTATACATCTACACGTATTACACAATTTCAAAATCGTCAAGCAATTTGTTCCATTAAAAGTTAAAGAAAAAACAGCTCCAATTTGTATATTAAGTTCGGTATTTTCAAAGAATGATTCGAATCATTTCTTTAGTCCACAAAAAATCATTAGTAAAACAAATAATCTCCAAGTAGATCGTGGTCATAGATCGGTACATTTGAGATGCGCGCGCATGACATCAGCGGAATCGGGGCCGGCCGCCCACCTCCATTAGTCGTCTAGACGAGAGGACAATTGTTATCTATTATCTGTGCATCTTCCAAAAGTACCTTCTCTTACTTGTATTTTACTCCTTTTTGGACGTGATGTACTTTTTAGGAGATCCTTGTGGCAATTACTTGGAATTTCCTGCTGACTCAAAAGTTAAGTGAGTCACGGTCCATTGAATTCAAACTAAACTATTCAGCTTGAAACACATACAAATGAATAACATAGTCACAAAAACTTTCAGTCACGATATGACAGATCTAACAAGACTTTTCTATAAGGAAAATCGCGCACAATTATCGATAGAAATGGTATTAAATTGAGCTGAGTTATCGATAAGGAGATACCCGATACAAATATGTATTTGATAGCAAAGTTACAACTTCCGCAAGACCTTATGGTCACAGCGGTTGCCATTATCACCATAAAAGAAGCCATTTTAATGAGCACAAAACAAAGGGTTCCGCCGCTGCACAGCCCGTACCACTGGTTCTGTGAATAATCTTGAGAATGTGGTTCAGGTCGAAAGGATCCCTTTTCTCATTAGTCGAAAATGCATCGACTTCTTTTCCAATATCAGAATACAGCGTTTTCTATTTGCCTTCGGGGATTAATGATGTTAAAGTTGAAACACAAACCACGAATGCTGATATTTTGCAAAATTGTGACCAGCCGGGAATCTACACTACTTAACAAAAGTGACGAGTAAATCGGGAATTCTTTTTAAATTTAACTACAGTCACTATTACTATCTTTCAGAAAACGATTCTCACTTTCTTGTCACCATGTTCCTTTGGTAGGGGGACGAGTGTGAATCCCTGCACATTACATGACATATATGGCCATCTGATAGCGGACCACTATTTATTACGACGGGCCTGTGCCGTACAGTACAGCAAGAATTGCTTACGATTGCAGACTTCCATAACTGGTTCCTCTATGCAGCACCTTTCTTTATCAACTGCGGAACTTGGAGAGGTATGCTAAGTTAGAGTCTAACGAATTGCTCATAAGGTAATAGGCTATACCTTTTAATCTGTCTTTACTATCTTCACAATCCTTTGTATCTAGAAGAGCATTGGCGGCCTTGTAAGTCTTAGGAAAGCAGACAGTTTTAAATTAACATACTTTAATAACTGAATCTGCTTAAGCTTCATTGTTAACTCCAAATGTAAAGGAATATGACGGTAACAAAAAAAATCTAATGAAAATTGTCATTGTATTACTTTATCATACATTTTTACGACTTTTCTCATACACTGCAACAAAGCATTTATCATACAATTTATTTCATCGTGCACAGTTTGAAGTTTAACAAAAAACTGGTTTCACAGTCACCAATTTCTAGGAACAAGACATCAAAAGCAGCAGATAATCAGTTCATAATGTCCATGTTTCATCATAATACATGGCAGGCAGAGGATTCAGCTAGATTCAAGATAGATATCTCAACAGGTTTGACTAAAACTACGTGTTTTACTAACATAAGTATCAAAATTATAATAGAAGATTACACTGAAGATGCACACATCAGTACATCGGAAACTCAAATGGTTAATGGAACAAAAATAATAAATTAAAACAAAGAAAGAACAAAAGAAAATCCTCTCAAAACTGGTCAGCAGCGTAATGCAGTCTCAGAAAATATTTCAACGCAACAATGTACTTTTCAGAGATCTAAGAAAAAAGAATTAACGAACAAGTCCATATTTTAAATACCTGAAGGTTCATCAAAAGAGGCCCTTAGGCCCCGTTCTGGACCTCTTTGTAATTGCTGTGTCATTTACACAAACTTATGAGAAGGCCATCTCATAATATTTGCGGACATGCGACGCTTGCCTTCTACATGAATGCATAGTCATCAACCCCCTCTTTTATTGTTGGGTCTACAGGAATATCTTTAACTACATGCAAAATGAGAGTTTTGTTATTATTTGTAACAACGACTTGTTCAGCAGTAATTTTGTTTTTGAAGTCTGTTTTTGCTTTATAGCATTAAATATTGTCTTCGTTTATGGTCGTCTTCTATAGCAAATATATCTCTACTGTATTTGTTTACACTAAATTAGTTGTTAGAATCAACAAATTATTTTGCGTTATCTTCTACTTACAATATAATTTGTTCTAATTGGGCTGATTTTATCAATATTCTTATATTGATTTGTCCGTACCGCCACTTGATTTTTTGTAACACTTAAAGGTTTACTGCAAAATTTATTACCTATATCAAAGTCACGCTAAAAGCAATTTATAAGAAAAAGATTAACAAACTTTTTGCTCCAATATATTGGCTTGACGTCACATATCAATCGACGGCAGCCATTAGCATCAATACTAACAAAGAATCACCGAAACGTTTTGGGTTCTGTACAAAAAACTATGTTTATGGAAGTCAAATTAAATGTCCATTGACCACGTAATATTTCTTGGAACTTCACTCTAATTTGATACAAAATAAAGAAACTAATAAATTACTAGTGACTATTTTTACAATTAAAATAAAATAGAAACTTGAATAACCTACACAATGTAACGTTAATATAAAACCTAAACTAATATTTTACAAAAATCCAATAACAAAAGGTAAAACGACTTCCCTGATCACATTTAAATATGATTTATTTAAAGGAACCCAACAAATTCATTACTGCAATATATTTTTTAACGCAATTAAGGACCCACTTGAGTGCAAAGGGCTCGCTTGCGCATCTGTCCGTTGATACACGCACACACGCGCACGATTCAATTCACTCACACAAACACATACTCGTGCACGTGTATTGCTTATGTGGGTATCTATAGGGTGCGGTGAAATAATAATTCTAACGGTTCCTATGGCATATGGACGGGGTATCAGTTTTTGGAAACTAGTAACGATTTTTTTTTACTTATGGGGTTGAGCTTGATTGCCTGCCTATGTTATGTTTTGGACATTTTTCGGGATTCGTTTTTGCAATGTTTCGTATAACGTGGGTGGTCAATCAAACACCTGTAGGATTAACTTTTCAAACATAAAAGAACTTTTTTATTCACGCAGAAAAACATATTTCTTGATGTTATCGAAGAATCCTAAAGGTCAGTGTTTCCGCCATTTAACAACGTTACAGCTTGTGATTGGCCGAAGAAAGGTTTAATATAAAAAGTAAATAAAATCACTTACTTGCAAAAATATTCTCCTCTGGGCGTGGACAGGCAGGTACCGCCATTCTTGCATGGCGAAGGTGAACACGAAACGAAACCTGAGAAAGAAAGAAAAAACATTATTAGCATCGTCACAAATATAATAAACACTAATCAAGTTAATATTTCTAAGAATATCAGAGGGTTTAGCATGAGTTTGTTTTATATTTAAAGTAATCAAAACGGGTATGCTTTCGGCGCTCTGATTGGCGGGCTCAAAAAAACCAACCAATCGGAGCCCCGAACACCGTCTCGTTTCGACTACTTTAAACATAAAACAAACACTCGTACTAATGCCTCATACATCGTTATACAAAGACTGCCAAAGGCATAATATGTATGAAGATATCAAAACTATTTTATATGAATTATCTTAGTCAGATTTTATTAGAAGTAAGGGTAATAATATGGCTCGCTTCCTTTAGATGTATTACTTATATGACGTGAAACACAGTAAAAGAAATACAGAAAAGGGTACAGGCAACAAAAGTATCGAAAATACAAAATGAATAATCAAAGTATTATTAAAAGTTAATGTGGATAATCCACAATGAAATAAACACAATATTTTAAACAATAAAGTGGATGAAGTTAAAGTTCAAATTAACAAAGCAGATAAAAGAACCGTTATAATGTATATGGAGTTTCAACAGAAAAATGATACACATTTAATTCATCTGATTAATTGCACTAGCTGTATGTCTGTCTGTCATAATACATGACTATAAATGGTCATACAGGTCACTGCTGAGATTTCAAATAAAAATTCTGAATGTTACACTGATCTTGATAAGAATTGTCATTAGATTTGTAATGAATGAGATTGTGTAAATAATCTTTGCCTTACAACTTTAGGTCACCGTTTAAGCGATTAATTTGGTCGCTTTTGAGGCTTAGAACTTTAAGCCTTGATTGTAGATTTTTGGCTTCTTTACATATAATTTGGAGTAAAATTTTAAATTATAAAAGGTAAATCTAGTGGTAATAATACAATCAAAACTGGTGCCTAAATAGAGCATAACAGCAGAGAAAAAAGCAAGAGAAAAACTGAGTGTAATAGAGGACAATAAATCTATCGATGGTAAACAAAATTATAACTTCGATTGCAATAGAAAATTCATTCACAATACTACAAACATAACGCACAATAACTTTAAGCTATTTTTAAACGCAATTAAATACTGCCAAAAGATTTTTGCTCCCATTTGTAAGCCACAAGTGGTAATATGGTTGCGGTTAAAAAAACAAAACAAAACGACGCTAAAGTAGATGGATTGGCGACGAAAACATCCGAGTGATCCAGTGGTAAATGTCGAAGCAAAGACTTGGAACATATTGCCTGTGTCTTTGGGAGTAACTGTTGTCGTGATATTACGGGTTTAAAACGTTTTGGGTGACATGAGTGCTAAGAAAATGGCGAATTGTTGGCTTAAGTAAATTCTTGTGTGCAGAAAAATAGGTTCAAAGATTTTTTTAACAATCTGTTCTAATTGTAATATGTATAGGTACACTATAGATTCATCTAATATCTGCAAAGTCCGAATGTCAAAGCCTTTGATAACATACTAGCAACTTGCGCGCGGTTTCACCCGCTCTGCTCGGCTCCTATTGGTCGTAGCGAGGTGTTTTATAGCCTATAGCCCTCCTCGATAAATTGACTATCCAACACAAAAAGAATTATTCAATTCGAATCAGTAGTTTCGGATATTAGCGCGTTCAAACAAACAAACAAAAAAACAAACTCTTCAGCTTTATAATATTAGTATAGATTAGAAGAAGTAAGTAGAAGTAAGTAAGCTATAAGATCTTCCTTTGTAAATATGTATTCTTGCAAATAAATGAATTAAAAAAAAATAAAAAAAAAAGAAGAATATTGTAAAATATAAGAATAGAATCTCTCCAAATCTTCTCTCGCCTAACATAAATTAAAGCTTTTTTTTTTCATTAGTATGCATATCCCAAAACGTAATTAATTTATGCGCATATTTTTAAAGAACTAATTTACATACATAAAGCATACAACAAGATACATCCATCTGAAGATGCTGTTTAATAAACAGTAGCTTCAATTGTAACGATGAAAAAAATTAAACATTCGATTTGTTATCAACACTGCGAGTATCGATCGATTCGATCTCGATTTATCGATCACTCACAATCGAGACCACCCAAACATAATCAGATGCGTTCTGCAGGAAATTGGACTCAAAATGGCGGCTTTTATTTAATTTAATTTGAATAAATATAGGAGAAAATAAAGTAACCTAGCTGTTGAGCCAGATTATTGCAATGTTTGTTTTATGAAACTCAGTTCAAGTCGCAGTTTATTTTATTAAAAAAAAAACATTAAAACGAACTAAATATAAAACATACAAAAAATGTTTTTCTTATTTCGTTATAGTTCTTTTCCGTGGGAAAGTACAAGGTACAAAAGTACCTACCTAAAAATATTTGGATAAAAATCTTATTAAAATTAAACTTATAAACAAGATTAAACAAACATTACATGTAAAAAAAAACTATGTATTCTGTCAGTTACTACTTTTTTACCAATCCCAAAGTAAACATCTGTGCGAAAAAGTAACGCATTTTCACAATTTCCTATCAATTTCAACATTTGAATTATTTAAGTGGAATTTGATAAGGTATCCTTATTTGAAGAAGCGATAGATAATTTTGGACAAAATTAAAACATGATAAGGCCGCTTTTCACTTGTTTATTTTGCTCTTATGACTACATAAATACACTTGAAAGTAGCTTAAACATGGGTTATTCAGTTACAGAATACTAGTACCTACTTTTACCCGCGGCTTTGCCCGCGTATTCCTGTTTTATCCCATGGGAGCATTTAATCAGAAAAATACCCTATCACCTAAGTCCGCCCAAACCCTGTCTGTATACTAAATTTCATGTAAATCCGTCAGTAGTTTCAGCGTGATTGACGGACGAACATTTAAGCAAAGAAACTTAATATTATTGTCTAGATATTTATTCAATAAATTTTCTATTGTATTCAGTGTTTGTAGAAAGACGCTGAGAGATAAAATCACTATTTATAAAACAACAAACTCAAATCAAGTTCTAAGTACAATGCTAAAATAATGGCGGTAAAAACATTAATAAATTTTCTTTCATCGATCTACAAGAATCTCAACAACAACGAAAGCAGAATAAATTCGTCGGTACTCGATAACTTATCACCAATAAATAACCAATAATGTAAACATGTTCGGTGATTGACACGCGTGGGAACAAGTTCACACTAATACTAAACTAAGCAAATACTGATAAAACTGACCAAGTACCAAGTTTAGGAACTTCAAATATAATCTAGAGTGTGCTGGAGACAGTTGTATGAAGAAGGTAAACTCCCAAAACGTTGGTAGCTTCAAAAATACCGAAGCTGATAGGATGCGAATTATAGCTGGTAGAATATTCTATCGATATATATATACGACTGCTCATCAATCCTAAGATAAATTATTTCATATACATGTGAATCAAAAGGAACCGCCTGTGTTGTTAAGCACAACACTCCAAAACAGCTATACCGGTTTTGTTAAAGTTTGTTATTATCAGGAGAATGTAAAATATGGAAAATATATCATCAGCAACAGGCCTAACTAGTTTTTTTTGCCCCACACTAGGATTTTCTCCTGTGTCGTGTGTGCGTCTACAAACATACAAGTTCACATACACATGACACCCAGACCCGGAACAACAATTTGAGGATCACACAAAGAGACACTCCCTTGCGGGAATCAAACCTGCGACACGTCGCGTGGCAGCCGATTGCCCAGCCACCGCACTAGCCGCGTTGTCAGTTTATATTTTAAATGCAAACTCCATAACCAAAAACGGATCTACGATACAATTTGACAATGCTCACGCGCAATTGTTTGTGATAGTCAAGGACATATCATTTCGGGTCACTCGTTCAACTGGGATCAGTTAAATGCCATGATCCGCATACCAAACGCCGTAAAGGGCTTTTAGGGACCTTTCATTTACGAATGGACTTATTTTAATAAACGAGAACCTAATTAAAAACAAAATGAACTCTTGACATAAATGATTGTTATATTCATATTAATATGTTATATCGTGATTACTATTTTGAATCTATTCCCGGTTTTAAAAAAATCTCAGTACCTATTAGCACGTAGTCTGGAATTGTACCCGATATATGGCAATAGGCTTACCCCCACTTATAACATAAATAGTAAAAAGTGGCATTAAGGCCTCTGCCTACCCCTTCCGGGATAAAAGGCGTCATGTTATGTATGGATCAAATCGACATTAAAACCATTATAAATGTCGTTGGTCAAGGTCTAACTTAAAGTTTATGTTAATCTTAGTGCTAAAAATTTAAGAGTACCTACAGCATGAAAGCAAATACACTGTAAACCTAAGACTTGAACAAAATCACCAAAAGCAGATCACAGAACCGTCCTCAGAACGACAAAACACCGAAACCCCGTACAAGTTAAACAAAGCGACCGAGTCTACACATTCGTTTTTTCGCCAACTTCCCAAATTCGAGTATCGGTCGCGGACGGGTGCTAGCGCAAAAACTGGACGCGTCTGCTGTCACCTTATAAGGTCACTTCATCGTTTTTTGTCCGGACCGCAGGACCGGTGAAGGACCGTCGGATAATTTCCTACCCATTGTTGTACAGATGAAGGAAGGAATAAAATTGATACTGTTTTGCTAGATAGCCTATATGAGAGATTTTAATAAAATTATGTCTTTGGATTTCATATCGTGATCTTTTTTTGTAGTGCAAAGTTTGGGTGATCCAAGCAAGATGAAATATAAAAATACGAAAGTGTCTTTGTTTGTTTGTTTGTCATTCATTTGCGTTGGCATCGGAACAGTTTTTACAGTAAATGCATATGGAAAACTAGTATCCATATAAGTCTAAGCATTTAGCAGGAAATTACTTTATTTAAAGGCCTGCGACAGATATTTGACATTAAACTGTTATTTCACTCAATTTTATCGGTATCGGAAAACCGGTTCGAATTTAGAATTGGTTGGTATTGCAAGCAATATAA